GACCATGGCACACCCTCCTGTCCCCAGTCCCCCTCTCAGCAGTCCCGGAATCCATTCCCGTCACTTCCGGACGCGCCCCCTTGAGAGACGAGAGCTTCGGGCCTGCCGTTCGGGCGGGCGCCCCTCCTGGGATACTACTTGCATAGGCTTGAGGACCTCCTGGCGAGAACACGGTGCCGAGAAGGCGCCCCCTCCCATCATGCGTGCACGGCAGGTTCGCGCGGCGATGCTGCGCCGACGACGTTGACAGAGGCGTTCCAGGTTGAACTCCGCATGATAGAACGACGCGGAAGCACCGAGGGGCGGAAAAGAGGGGGGTGATGACTAGGGGGGGGTGGATACCATGGCGTGGGCCATGATATTTCCCCAGATTTCCTGGCGCCTCTTCTCATTTCATTACGTTCCTGGCCCCCCCGCTGGGCCGCGCACATGCCGCCAGTCATGATTTGCACCCCCCCTCTTGGACACCCCCCTCTTGGGAGCTCCCGCGGAAGCACCGAGGGGCACGGTGATGCCTCAGGGCCCGACGGAATTCAACCCGCAACGATCGGGGCTGTGATCGGTTCAAGGCTGAACGATCGACGCGGTGTCATCGACCTGTGCGCGCGCCGACGCCGCGAGAACCTGCCATGGCTATTGCTGGACGGTGAGGGTTCCGGAACGCTCCGAGGAGGCCGCGGCGTCCGAGACGCCCTCCAGAGCCGTCGGATCTCCCGGAGATCCGACGTGGCGACAAAATTGCAACATCGTGAAAGATCACGACTGGAGCCCCGGACCCCATCTTTCTGCGTCATGTTTCGAGCCGGATCGATCTGTGAGGCACCCGAGGCCCAGGAAGAGGCGGAAGCGCCTGGCTCAACAAAAATTGAGACGCCAGGATCTCAGGAGGGGCTCTCAGAGATCCTCGGTCTTGAGGGCCCCGGGGCGCCTCGGTGGGTCCTCGGAGAGCCGGCTGTCCTCTCGGCCTCGGGCCTGGTCGGGGGCGCGTTTTTTGGGGGAGGAGGGGGGTGGCGGCCTCGAGCAGTGGCGCGGGGAGGAGATGCGGCGATCGCGATGACACGCCGGTCGTAGTTGATCAGCATGGCCCGAAGTGGAGCAGCAGTGATAAACATATGGATATATGGGGTTAGGGTTAGGGTTAGGGTTAGGGTTAGGGTCAGGGTCAGGATTTGGGTTGACGGGGCGACGGGGTTGTCCTCCCTTAGCGCGGAAGGGGGAGAGAGAGAGAGAGAGAGAGAGAGAGCGGAAAAGAAAGAAAGAGAGTGAGAGAGAGAGAGCTTCGAGTGCCGGGGGGGGCCTTAGCGCGGCTTTCTCTTAGCGCGGGGGGGGGGATAGAGAGAGAGCCTCGAGTGCCGGGGGGGGCCCTTAGCGCGGGGGGGGAGAGACAGAGAGCCTCGAGTGCAGGGGGGGGGCGGGGTCGCCTTTGCGTGCACGAAGGGGAAGAGAGTTTCGGGTGCAGGTTGCAGGGGGAGGTGCCCTCTTCAGTGCGCGGGGGGAGAAAGAGTCTCGATTGTGGGGGAAGGGGGGGGTCCCCTTTCGCGAAAATCCCTGTCTTCAGTGCGCTGGGGGGGGGCGGTGGCTGAGCGTTTTTTGTTGGATATCGCTCTCTCTCTCTCTCTCTCTCTCTCGAGGGTCTGTAGGGCACTTGGCATGGGCTGGTTTCGCGGGCGCTGGTTTCGCTCCGCTGGTTTCGCCGGCGCTGGTTTCGCCCCGTTGGTTTCGCCGGCGGCTGGTTTTGCCGGCGCTTATTTCGCCGGCGCTGGTTTTGCCGACGCCGTCGTCGTCGTCGTCGTCGTCGTCGTCGTCGTCGTCGTCGTCGTCGTCGTCGTCGTTGGGCATCGAGCTTCGGACCCGAACGGGCGGGTCGAGTCGGGTCGGGCGCGCGGACCTCAGCGGGCGGGTCGGGTCGGGAAGGGGGGACATTACATTGTGGGGCGCACTCGGCCGAGCACGCGCGAACCCTGATGGGCGGGTCGGGTTGGGCGGGCGGACCTCAGCGGGCGCGGGTCGGGTCGGGTCGGGCGCGCGACCGTAGCGGCGGGTCGGGTCGGGCGGGCAGAACATTAAAGTGTCGGGCGCGCTCGACCGAGCACGCGCGAACCCTAACGGGCGGTTGTGTCGGGCGGGGACCTAGGGCGGGTCGGGTCGGGCGGGCGCGCGGACCTTAGTGGGCGGGTCGGGTCGGGCGGGCGGGACATTGAAGTGTGGGGCGCGCTTGGCCGAGCACGCGCGAACCCTCGGGCGGGTCGGGTCGGGCGGGCGGACCCTAGCGGGCGGGTCGGGTCGGCGGGCGGGACATTGAAGTGTGGGGCGCGCTCGACCGAGCACGCGCGAACCCTAAGAGGCGGGTCGGGTCGGGCGGGCGGACCTGAAAGGGTCGGGTCGTGTCGGGCGCGCGGACCTTAGCGGGCGGGTCGGGTCGGGCGGGCGGGACATTCAATTGCGGGGCGCGTTCGACGCGCACGCTCGATTTTTAACGGGCGGGTCGGGTCGGGTGAGCGGACCTCAGTGGGCGGGTCGGGTTAGGTCGGGCGCGCGGGCCTTAGCGGGCGGGTCGGGTCGGGCGGGGCCAGACATTGAAGTGCGGCGCGCGCTCGACCGAGCACGCGCGAACCCTAACGGGCGGGTCGGATCGGGCGGGCGAAACTCAGCTGGCGGGTCGGGTCGGGTCGGGCGCGCGGACCTTAGCGGGCGGGTCGGGTCGGGCGGGCGGGACATTGAAGTGTGGGGCGCGCTCCCCTGAGCACGCGCAAACCCTAACGGGCGGGTCGCGTCGGGTGGGCGGACCCTGGCGGGCGGGTCGGGCCGGGTCGGGCTGGCGGACCATAGCGGGCGGGTCGGGTCGGGCGGGCGGGACATTGAAGTGTGGGGCGCGCTCGACCGAGCACGCGCGAACCCTAACGGGCGGGTCGGGTCGGGCGCGCGGACCGTAGCGGGCGGGCTGGGGCGGGTCGGATCGGGCATTTTCGCACACGGCAGCTGGTTTCGCCGACGGCAGCTGGTTTCGACGGAAGCCACTTTCGCCGTCGGCAGCTGGTCTCGCCGGCGGCGAAACCAGCCAGGCGAAACCAGCCGTCGGCGAAGTTAATGTGATCTGCTTTGGTGGCTTTCGCGGCTCGTGGCAAGCCTCTTGGAGGCAGCGGCGACGCCTTTTGGAGCCCTCGGGCCGTCACCACTTTCAAAGGTTCCCGAACTTTTTCAGTCGTGATTTTTTTGGGGTTCCAGTCGAGTCTGTGCGTGCACGCAGCCGCTCTGTAATGTCTTTTTCAGTCATACTTTCCTGAAGAGTTGCCAATCGCGCACTCTTCTGCCCACGCGTCCCTCCGGACGCTCGGCTCAGTGGTGGTGGTGGTGGAGTTGTTTTTATCGGTTTTCCTCTTTCTTCCTCTCGATGTTCTCCAGGGCCTGTGGGGGAGTCTTCGGGCCTCCGGAGGAGTCTTGGGGGCTTCTTGGCGTCCGTGCGCCTGGCTGGGGCGCAGAGGTGAGATTATGGTACCCGCCGGCCGCCAGCATTTCTGGTTGGTCCAAACCCTGAGATCCTGGCCTTCCAATTTCTTCTAGCCGGGTGTTTTTGTTTTCTTTCGTGCCCCGGACCCTCACATATCAATCCAGCTCGCAAAATGATGCAGAAAGATGGGGTCCGGGACTCCAGTCGTGATTTTGCTTACAATGCTGCATTTTTTCGCTGCGCCGGATCTCAGGGAAAGGCGGTCCAGCGAAAAGAGGCTGTTGCAGAAGATTTGGTGCAATCAATTTGTTGGGTTGCAGTAGAATTTGGAGGCGTGAAACGCAGTCCGGTCCGCAGAGGTATTGTTGGATTTCCGCGTGCAATGCATTCGATGGAATTATGCAATACAGTTCACTGGCGTAATACGTTTGCAATGCAATTGCCCCAAATCTATTGCACCAGCCCCTGTCAGCTGGAACCCCTCTTGGGTCAACCAAATATCTCTGGCTTCCCAGATTCCAATCTACTTTCGGCGCCTTCCTACTTCAAGGATAGAGTGTGTTTCCCAACCGTCCTGTGGTGCTGGGTCCTCGTTTTGAAGAGACGGTCCCCGCGTTCTCCTCCTCTCGTGCCCCCCCCCCCCCCTCCCTGCCGTCCGCATGCGTCCCGCACACCCACTTCAGCGCTTCGTGACCCCATAGGGAGCCCCACCGAAGGTCCCAGTGCTACCGTCCGCATGCGTCCCGCACACTCAGTACAGCGTTTCGTGGCCCCATAGGGAGCTCCACCCAAGGTCCCAGTGCTGCCGTCCGCATGCGTCCCGCACACCCAGTGCAGCGTTTCGTGACCCTCCTCCCCCTCCTCCCTGCGTTTCACCCACCCAGTACAGCGTTTCGTGGCCCCGGAGCCCCACCGAAGGTCCCAGTGCTACCGTCCGCATGCGTCCCGCACACCCAGTACAGCGTTTCTTGGTCCCATAGGGAGCCCCACCGAAGGTCCCAGCGCTACCGTCCGCATGCGTCCCGCACAGCCAGTACATCGTTTCGTGACCCTCCCCCCCCTCCTCCCTGCGTTTCAGCCACCCAGTACAGCGCTTCGTGGCCCCATAGGGAGCCCCAACCGAAGGTCCCAGTGCTACCGTCCGCATGCGTCCCGCACACCTTGTACAGCGTTTCGTGGCCCCATAGGGAGCCCCACCGAAGGTCTCCCGTCCGCATGCGTCCCGCACACCCAGTGCAGCGTTTCGTGACCCCATAGGGAGCTCCACCGAAGGTCCCAGTGCTGCCGTCCGCATGCGTCCCGCACACCCAGTGCAGCGTTTCGTGACCCTCCTCCCCCTCCTCCCTGCGTTTCACCCACCCAGTACAGCGTTTCGTGGCCCGGGAGCCCCACCGAAGGTCCCAGTGCTACCGTCCGCATGCGTCCCGCACACCCAGTACAGCGTTTCTTGGTCCCATAGGGAGCCCCACCGAAGGTCCCAGCGCTACCGTCCGCATGCGTCCCGCACAGCCAGTACAGCGTTTCGTGACCCTCCTCCCCTTCCTCCCTGCGTTTCACCCACCCAGTACAGCGTTTCGTGGCCCCATAGGGAGTCCCACCGAAGGCCCCAGTGCCCCCGGCCGCATGCGTCCCGGAAGCCCAATTTGGCAGTTTCACCCGCCCAGAGCAGCGTTTCGTGGCCCCACAGGACCGTCCGCATGCGTCCCGGTAACCCAATCTGGCATTTTCACTCACTCAGTAGAGCGCTTCGTGCCCCCATAGGGAGCTCCACCGAAGCCCTCAGTGGGATCGTCCGCATGCGTCCCGGAAACCCAATTCGGCACACCACCCACACAGTACAGCGCTCCCCCCCGCCCAGTGCAGCGCTTCGTGGCCCCATAGGGAGCTTCACCGAAGCAGAGATTCACAATTACGGTACCCACAACTGCATATGGCTGGGACCTTTACCAGGATAATTTCTTATTCATTTCTCTTCAGGGTGAGGGCGGCAGCCCAATCTACTTCCAACGCCTTCCTACCTCATTGTTCTACCCTTCAGCCGGGCATGCCCCTCTACCGGAGGAATATTCAAGAATAGTCAAAAAATAGTCAGGCGACGATTTGTTGACAATGTGTGGGAATTGTTGCCAATTGTTGCATATGTTTTAACTATGTGTGATTTTTCGTCCAAGGGCCGTTCCTCCTTGCCCCCCCCTCCTTGCCCACTTCCTGGAAGGAGTCGCGCGGCGGCCAGGCGCACCCTCCCTCCCTCCTCTCTCCTCCTCCCTTGGCAGCTCCTCCGCTCCTCGTCCGTTCATCCCTCGTCGCTTCTCCTCCTCCCCTCCCCCGTACAGTGCCGTTTGTAATACATGCTCCGCGCGCGGATCACGTATTCAACATGCAGGGGTGTAGTATTGAAAACAACGATGAGTTCTTGCATAAATTTAAGCATACATTTTTCATGTTAAACATCACATTTTTAAAATCCGTAGCCGTACCACTAACTACGGGCACAGTCGTCCTGCGAATGGCACCCTGCGTAAATGCCCGCGTAGTGCCGCGTAAAAAATAACGCGTAAGGTCAAGCCACGCGGCCCCTCTCCGCAGTATTCATATTTTTTAAAAATCCTCTGTATTAGAAACTGCCCTGTAGCTCCTCCGTTCCTCTACGGTTCCTCTGTCGTCCTTCCTCCCTCCGTGTCCCGGGCGGAGAGAATCGCGCGGCGGCCAGGCGCCCGCCCGCGCCCCCCGTCGCCCTCAGGAGCTGCGCGCGGCGGAGAGCCGCGAGCGCCTGCGCAGCGGCGAGGCGGCCGCCGAGGTCCCCGCGGTCGTTGTCGATGTGGTCGTCGTCGTCGTCGTCGTCGTCGTCGTCGTCGTCGTGGTCGCCGTCGTCGCCGCCGTCGTCGTCGTCGGCGGTGTCGTCGTCGGGGTCGGGGTCGTGGTAGTGGTCGTCGTCGTCGTCGTTGGGGTCGTTGTTGTCGTGGCCGTCGCCGGTGTCGTCGCCTGAGGAGAGGAGGAGGAGGAAGGGGCGAAGGATGTGATGATGTGGATGAGGAGGGCGAAGATGGAGGAGGGAACAGGAGCAGGAGGAGGAGGAGGAGGAGGAGGAGGAGGAGGTGGAGAAGGAGGAGGGGGAGGAGGAGGTGGAGGAGAAGGAGGAGGAGGAGGTGGATGAGGAGACGGAGGGGGAGAAAGAGGCGGATAAGGAGGAGGACGTTACAGCGACGACACGGTGAGTATACAAATGCAGTGTTGTTTCCAGTAATGACCGTACCGACTAGGCCAGCCATTTCGCATGTGCCAGCCTATTCATCACAGCTAAGTCGAATCCAGCCACAGCGACAACCAGCGTAGTTTGTATGCTAACCGCAGCTAGCCGTCACAGCTTGATAGGCCAGCCATTTAGCATGCGCCAGCCTTTCTTCAGCACGGCTGATCTGTCAGCGTAGTTTTCATTGTTCGCCACATCTACCAGCAAACAACCAGCCTAGGCCAATCATGGCGCATGTGCAAGCCTTAGCGCAGATGACCAGGAAGGGTTTAAAAGGGGGGACGCTCATTACATCAATGGCCATTCTGGCCTTCGACGCGGGGCGTGAGCCTTGCTGTGGGCCGCCGAGTGTTTGTTGCACCCCCTCACCTCACAGCTCCGTTGCCACACACACACACACACACACTGCATCCAGCCACCGTCCTACCTCAACGGCGTTCGTCGCTAGCTCTTTCTTTTCGCCTGCACCAAGCAGTACAACTTTACTTTCACAGCATGCCTTGACCTACCATGGGACTGGGAAGGGACCATCCTTGGGGGGAAGTTGGGGCGCCTCACCGCGCTTGCCTTGCCACTACTCTGGCTGCTCCTGCGTACCTACGTGGATAGGCACACCACTGGGACGCACCAGCAGGACAACGTGCAGACACGCCTTTTACAGTTATGGTTCTTTAGATGCACGCGTTTTTCGCCCACACTTGTTCGGAGCCTCCCCCTACATGTTACCTAGTTCTGTCTACGGGTGTTCTCTTCTCTTTTCCCAGCGAACGGTGCCGTTACTTTGTGCCAACATTCTTGCCCTTCATGATCCGCACGTGCCGTCTGCCCAGTTCGTGCTGCACATCGCCCGGTCGGGCTTTACATTTTTGCCCCATCGCCAGAGTAGGACGCTACAGCCCCGCGGTTCAAGTTCACCCAGCGTCGAGAGGAGGATGGGGAAGAGGAGGAGGAGTAGGAGGAGGAGGAAGAGGAGCAGGAGGAGGAGGAGGAGGTCCAACACATGGTTCGGACACCCTCCTGCATTCTTCCCTTCTGGCACACGACATTTTGGATCCCTTCCCGAGCTTCCCGGGCCTCTCCCACCGCCACTCGAACAACTCGGGAGGCTGCTAAACAGCGAACAGTGTGGCCTGACAGGGCCGAAGGGGCCCGAAGAAAACGGTTCAAGAAGGCCCGAAGACGTTCAAAGAAGGCTCCAGGATGTGCCCCGAGAGGGCCGCCAGGAGGCCAACATTGCTTCGTCCCTTGAGCAAGCAATTTGCTTGGCGACGGACCCATCTTTGCGCAGTCATGTGTAGCGCAGAGCGCGGGTCTCTCTTCATACACTGCGCGCCGCGGGACCATGTGGAAAGGTGGTTGCTGCGGGGCGCGCGTTCACGGGTGCGGTGAACTCCTCATGGGGCACGATCCGCGTGAAGGGTGTGCCGAATAATTCGGATGCCTCCGCGCGAACACGCCCACTGAGGTCGCAGGTGGAGCTCCTCCGGGCACAACCTGTGCGAGGCACGCTCCGAAATGTGTGGGGGGACGCCGTGCGAAGCTGCCCATTGGTGCCATAGGTGGAGCTCCTTCTGGGGAATGATTCGCGTGACTGGTGTGCCGACTTGGGCGGGGCGGCGCTGTGCGAACCTTGGGTGGTGCTCCTTGTGGGTACGATCCGCGTGATGGGGTGTGTCGCAATGGCAAGGGGGACGCAGTGCGAACCCTGCCTCTGGGGCCGTAGGTGGAGATTCCTGTGTGCCAGAATCCGTGCGTGAGCTGTGCTGACTTAGGCAGGAGGGCGGGATGCGAACCTTGTCTTTGGGGCCGTCCGTGGACGTTCTGGCGGGCCGCGATCCGCGTGAGAGGCGTGCCGAAGTGAGCTGGGCGACGCTATGAAGTTTCCCTGCGGTGCTACACATGCAGTTACTTCTCGCGGGGCACGATCCACCTGAGGGGCGTGCCATCCTGCGAACCTTGTCTCTGGGGAGGTACGTCGAGCTCCCTGTGGGGCGCGATCCCTGTGATGGGTTTGCCGGCATGTTCGGGGGGGCACTGAGCCACGCCTGTCTCAGGGGCCGCAGGGGAAGCGCCCAAAAAGGCACGACCCGTGTGACAATATATGTCAGCCACGCGCAGAGAGCGGTGGGGGGAGGGGGGAGGGCTTCTTAGAAGCACCCCTGCTTCTTAGAAGGCGCGGGTCTTATCTATAGATGTAAGGCCGGTGCCTTCTAAGAAGCAGCCTCCTTCTAAGAAGCCCTCCCTCCTCCCCCCACCCCCTTGTGCGCGCCGCCAAATATGCCTTCCTACGCCGAACATCTTCTGCTACAACTGGAGCCTGTCAGAACCTGAGCGCGCGCGAAACGCGCGCGTGGCTCTGGTATAGCATATGCCAGCGAGTGAGTGAGGCGCGTTCGGCATGCCGTTCTAGAAGCGTGCAGCCTAGCGTGCCCAGGACTCGGGCAGCTTTCCGCCCCAGTCCACGATCACTTCACCATGTTCAGAAGGGGAAAACACACACAGACACAATTAATCGTCGATTCCCCAGAAAATATGGGAAAATATGGGAAGTGGGGGGGAAGACAAAAAGCCCAATACATGTGGGAAACCATGGGGACTACCTTTATTTGTATGTATTTCTTTGTGTGTCCTGGGGCCCCGTTAATGTGCCTGGGCCCTGGGTCGGCACCCTCCCGAAATTTCCCCCTCCCTTTCGAGCACCGCCCCTCCCGACCGCCCCGGCCGCCCTCTCGGGCCAGGGCCTCCCCCCGGGCCGCCCTGGCCGCCCAGATCGATGATCCTCAGGGCGTGTGTCAACCCTCTGCTGCTCCGCCGATGGCGTTAACCCGAGTATGCTAACCCAAGCGTGTGTTAACCCAAGTGTGTGTGTGTGTGTGTGTGTGTGTGTGTTTTACCCTCTTCTGCTCCGCCGATAGCGCGCAGCCTCTCCTGGTGCCCGTCGCACCGCGTGTTGGAGGGCTGCGTGGACCGATTCTCTACCCTGCCCTCTGCTGTCCTACCCCTTTCCCCCCGCGACCTTCAGGAGGGGAAAAAAACACACAGACACACTGAATCGTCGATTCCCCAGAAATATGGGAAACTATGGGAAGTGGGGGGAAGACAAAAACCCAGAACATACGCGAAACTATGGGGGATACGTTTTATGTTTTTTATATTTATTTGTGTGTCCCAGGGCCCCTTCAGACCTTCCCCCCTCGCCTCCCCCCCTCTCTCCGCTCCTCGCTTGTTCCTCGTCCTCGCGGCGCCCTTCGCGCGCAAGCCGCGGAGGCCGAGGAGCTCGTGTGGGTGCGCACCGTCGACAG